GTTCTCTGCTTTGATGATGTAAAAATCTGGCGGGGAATTAGTAACGATGAGGATATACGTGAGCTTCAGGCAGACCTAAAGAGCTTGTTTACCTGGTGGGAAAAATGGCTGATGCCTATCAATGCAGGTAAATGTGTGAGCATGCTCTCGAGGCATACACGCACTAACACCTGCGACTCTGATGGAATTCCTCTACCGTCAGTACTGACCCACAATGGACTAGGAGTCATAGTGAGTTATGACTTGAAAACCACGCACACTGTCGTTTGATAGCAGCTCGGAGTTTTAGGACACTGGGCATCACGTAGAACGCTTACGAAAATAAGTGAGGACATTGTAGGGATGCGTGTGTTACAATTCCGTAACGTTTGATCAACCCTACTTAACTTGATGTGCTCCAGTACCTGCTTAACCAGTACTTTACCTAACGTGTAAGTACTGGTAACAAAACACAAATCAAAAGAACTGATACGCAATGTATTTAAAGGAGCTATGTATTTAAGGTAAATGTAATAATAATGAATGAGGGAAAAGTTTAATCAACTTATCTGGCTTGTAAGGCTGAACTAAGGACTCGGAGTACGTGCGTGGTGATCAGCACAATGGAGCGCAAAAATGGCCTCCAAGCCTGCTCGGATGCATGCTCGTTAAAACAAAACTTAAAACACCCTAAGCATCCGGAGGCAAGCTAGAGATTTATTTAGTTAATTTAATTTAAACTATTTATTTTAGCCCTAGTTATATTTTGGTGCCAGGAAGGTGCACTACAACATGTTCACTATCTTGTACACATCCTTATTTCTAAATTAGAAAACTGTACACAGAGATTTTAATGTGACTTAAAACCACACAGGTGAATCTCTGCTACTGGATTGCTACTTCGAATGCTCTTTGTCAAAGAGATCGATGAACCGTTATTTGAGAAGATTATCAGGGTAACCCTCTATCATTTTCTTGGCCATATGCATCAAGTCCTGTAACTCAAAAGCCTTCAAAGATACACTGAGTATTTGATGAATCTTGTAAGGCTGCCTATATAAAAAACTTACTTAAAAATCACTTCATCTAGTCTAAATGAGTCTACTAGTTGTTTCGAAAATCTTTCACTCAAAAGGGGTAGAAAGATGTCTTGTGATTTTTTAATCTTAGATGGATGTCTGCTTTATGGTTGCTGCTTCTAGCTTGTCACGGACATGATCTTTCAAGTCTCTGACCTTTGTGGCAACGTCAAAAGGAAGCATGACAGCAAGCAAAGCACTTTTAGATGCTGAGGATTGTATACTTTTTTCGGATAAATGAGCCTTGATTTAGAAGAACCATGCACGTTCAAAATGTCGTTCAGCCATGCAATCTTTTCGGGGAACTGTTTCGTTTTTTCCTTTTAGGTACAGCGACTCTCTTGCACATTTACCTAAGTTCCTCCTGCTGTATTTGGGTACTGGGTAATACATTTAACTACTATTGAAATGAGTGTGGTACCATAGCTTTTCATCGTGATGGCCTGTTATCTCTAATTTTCAGCATATTACAGTTTTTATGAAAGTACCATTGCATCATAGTTACAATTTTAATCGCTGCACAAGCGTTGACCACATCATCCTACTTATCTGTCAGAAAATGGTTACAAAAGCAAATATACCTAAAGAAAAAGGGCTAAAACTGGGCGCACAATTATTATTATTATTATTATCATCATTATTACTATTATTATTTTTATTTGTTCCTAATGGAACATAGGGCTTCAGTAGCAGGTCTCCATTCCACTTTCTTCTCTGCAAACTTTTGAACCTGGCTACACGACAGCCCAAAAGCTCTCATTTCCTCCTCACACGATCTCCTCCATGTCACCCTCGCCTCGGACACCCAACTCGTCTTTTTCCCTTTGGGTTCCATTCGAGTGCCTGGCCTGACGCGTGATGTCCCCAGTCGGCCTTCTCAGTATATGCCCAATCCATCTTCACTTCCTTCTGCATATTTGTTGAGCGATAGGTTCTTGGTTGGTTCGTTGTCAGGCCAGAGTTCCTTGTTGCTTATTCTTTCTGGCCATCTGATCTTCACCAGCGAGCCAGCGTAGGCAGTTGTTGATGAATGTCTGTAGTTTATTGGAAATGCCTTTCGTGACGCGCCAAGTCTCTGAACCATACAGAAGCACTGACTTGACTGACGTTGGTGTTGAAAATCCGGATCTTGTTCACGCTTTATGCTGAATGCAGAAGATCTCCACACTGGTTTTCAGGCTAATGAACGCCTGCCTTGCTTTTCCGATTCTGACTTTGACATCCTCGTCTGTGCCGCCACCTGTAGTTGAAAGAGTGCTGCCTAGATAGGTGACGGAGGTTACTTCCTTTAATTTTCTCTCGTTGACGGTGATCGGTGTTTGTTGTTGTTGTTATTGTTGGTTGAGTATCTTCATCACCTCTGTCTTCTCTAAGTTCACTTGAAGTCCCGTCTTCCTTCACTGCCTCTTCCGTCAACTTGTTGGACACTGGGCACACTACCTACCTAAAAAGATTGTAGTTAAAAGTCATGAATATTCTTTTGAATATTTAGACTTCTATACGCTTTTTCGCCTGCTTCACCAATCTCGAATCACGAAGCAGATTTGTAATTTTGATTTTGAAAAAAAGATTGCATAAAGGACTTAGTTATTTTCCTCCTAATTAGAAAACGGAAGTGATACACTTGAAAACTAAAAAATTTACGATGTTAACTGTCTAGTAAGTTTACACACAACAGTCTACTTGGCTTCGAATCACTGCCTCGTAAAGTTACCCATCATTTCGTGACAAAACTCTCAACATCACCACCAGCTGTACAACACATGTTAATTAAGTTCAGATAAGCGACGGTTGACAAGGTGTAGACTTTCATAAGTTACATTTTGAGACTTGTTTTACCTTCCGTTTAGTGAACATAATTAGTATAATGATGAACACCCAACTAAAGACAGTTCAGTGTAAAGTTTCTAAGCTTTCAAAACCGCATTCATTATATTCGATAGGAATTAATAACTTTAGTTGAGTGTCTTTATTCGTAAGCGAAAACACCATTCTTGTGCTTGTCGAGTTGTCGGATCACATTTCCTCTTTTTCCTTTCTTTTCTTCAATCTCTTGGTGGCTGGGTGCACTACCACTGCCAAACATATACATGGTCTTCTGTTCACTCTTCCTTGTAGCAATCTGCCAACATGCAATACAAAAACCTGCCAAAGTTGGTGGTTACATACTAAAAACAATCTAATATCTATAACAGTGGATTGAGATGGTGAGTTTCCTAGCTTGGTAGGGGAATTACAAAATGATCGAAAGAATTCTGTCAGCACTTAGCCACAGACATGAAATTGTTCACTCTTCAGTGACCGATCAGCGTAATTAATTCAGTTCTGCAGAAGGTCAGTGACAAACCGTTAACGTCTCTGACTAAAGCATTGGGTGACGGAGGTGTGAATCTCAAACGGGACACTATCCTCCTTAGAGTCTGTAGATATGTCTTTCTGATGAATGCCAAGAAACACCAGAATTCAACTAACAAAAAGTTGAAATTGTTTAAAACAGGTAAGTAGAAGGATATGAAGAACCGAAAATTTTCGAATAGATATTATAGTTCATCTTAGATTTAGGGATAGTCAATCATGTTCTAGTTTGGTCTAAACTTAACTGGCCAATTAGGTGAACCCTCGTTCAGAAAGTTATCTTAATGAAGAAAAAGCTAAATATTTAGATATTATAAAATTAATTGATATGACAGGTTTGTATGTATGAACTTTGCTTTTTCAAACTACAATAAACAACGAAACAGAAGTTAAACGACTTTCTCCTTAGGAAGTGTGCAACTCATCATGAATTCGGTATTAGTGTTGAGCTGTGCAAAACATTTCTAAACTTAATTCTAATTTCCTTGACAACAAATATTCATTCTAGGTAAATTAGAATCACGAGTTCCCAAGTCAACCGGTAAGAAATTTGCAATTAGTTGCTGTTGTCAGCGTCGGTGTTAGTTTCTTACTTAATTCTAAACTCTAAGAACTTAGAAGCCATAGCTTGGCCTTAGGCGTCTACTTTACCACATTTTCAAATACAGACGGATTACACTGACTTTTTCAGAAGCCTATTTCAGTAGAGTACTCATCATGGACTGACGTCAGTTGGAGAACCATTGAAAACCTGGAAGAATTCAATATCTGTTTCATTCCAGCAAGTAACTCATCGGCAGCACGCACGCATGACGTTGTTGGGGACTGAGCTCATGACACTCAGGTCTCACAGCCAGCATACAAACCATCTAGTCACTGGATCGAAGCTCATTGACCCACTGTTCCCTACTACTGAGGGATACCGTAGGAGGACGAGACAGCTGTCAAGGTTTTCACTGGTTTCCTGACTGATTTCACTCCATGATAAATCCAACCATGCAAGGAATAAAAACCTCACAAACCTCAAACTAAGAGCTTATTTGTTTTATAGGCTACTCAGGAACTTCAGTGTGATTCGTGAATTTAAGTAGATTGATAATAGCGCTTAAGGCATGAAGGCTGATTCAGTAGTTACTTAGTGTCACCAAGATAGCTCAGAATATCTCCCCACAAACCTCCAAATAAATTAATTTAGTGCTCATTGGTGAATAGATTCGAGAGGTGATTCCTGAAATTTAAGTGAGAAGTCGTGACCGGTGGAATCGCCCAAGTCGAACAGGAGGACAGTTAATTAACGACAGTACTAGATGGAAGTCAGGCTATAACATGAACTGACAGAACTAGAAAATATGGGCTACTGGACTTCAACCCAATGACCCAAATTTAACGTACTGTCCACGGAAGCTGAAGTTTCTGGGTTCCGCTCCTGGTAGGGTCATAGGTTTGCAATGCTGAGTAGTCCCGTACTAGGACGAAACAGCTGTTCAGCACTCCCAGGTTTCCAATATTCCTTCAACTAATGTCAGTCCATGATGAATACCAACCTGATATCTTAGAGTAGCAAGCAAAAGAATAAGATAGAAAGTATAACGATGAAAGCGATTACAACATTTATTTGAATGATTTGACAAGGAATACAATTTGGAAGATAAAATAGAAAGAAAAGCAGTATTAGGATCATAAATGCAACTGCAGATCATTCACTACTACGGTTATCTCAATACATAAACAAACATTTAGCTCACATAGTTGAAAAAAACAAGCAAAAAGAAATTCAATGTTCATGTGTTTCAATAATTACCTAAGTTGAATAAAATTCACTGCTAATAATCCTTCAGTCTCTTTACTATGATTATTGTTGTTATTATTTTTTACAATGAATTATTGTCTATAAGAAATATAAGTCAATAATTTATTATCTAAATCCTAAATTTACAGGTATTATTGATAGACTTTGCATCTGCAAATAAGTAAAAGTAGACTAACTTAATTTAGGCTGATGCATTTCAGAGGGTGTGTTGATAAGAAATGGTTAGTAATCAAACTGACATCATATGATTGCATTCACCAGCGAACAATTTGATGCTGACTAATTAAAAGAGGAGAAATGCATTTAATACTTGCCATCAGTTGGTATAATTTAATTCTTCTTTTGACAGTTGAAAAAATTGGACTATTATGCTTTATTACTTTTTCTCTTTTCTTCTACTGGTACTTTTCTTGTAGATTTAATTGGTTTTTTTGTATTAGACAAATTGTCATAGTGAATTTCAGTAGAATAATTAATTAAACCATCACTTTGAGTTAACTGTATTATCACTAGAGGATTCGGATGTAATTTGATCACAACTATCAGCTGAATTGATAGCATCTAATTGACTATGTCCACTGGCATTATCGTTACTAATACTGGTATTACTACTATTATTACTGCTACTGTTTGTTGTAGTGCTGAGTGTATCTAGGCTAGAATTAATTTGTTCTCCCTGTATATCAGAATGAATTATTTTTCCAGAATTTTCATTGTGTTTGTCATTTGACTGTTTCAAATTATAATGACCATTATGTTGACAGTGTGGCGGTTGTTGTTCATTCGCATACCAGTAACTGCAGTCACACTGATGTGAATAAATAACTGTATCAGCGGTAGCACCAACTGAAATCTGTCTTAGTCTTCTACCTTCCAATTTCTGATCAAGTAGTACAGAAGTGTCATCTGCATCATTTTCATCTGCACTAATCTGACTCATATCAGCAACTTCATCGCCTATTTCACCAGCCAATGAAGTAGAAGCTGAGTCTTTTTTATAAGGTGGTGGATAGTCAGTAGTCACATTGAAATGACGTATAACTGGGATTTGTGACGGCGTAATTTTTTTAACATCATGATTATGAGTATTGGGTAACTCTAGGGAATGACGCATTAATTCAGCAGTTTTATGTGAATGTGGTGCACTTGAATTGACTAGTTTATACGTACTGTGTTGATCAGAGATACATTGATGAGGGCAGTGATGATGGTGTTCAGCATGAAAAGCAGGTTTACACTGTATGCATCTATGACTTGAAGATTCTAAATTGTCACTTAACATTTCTTCTTCTGCTGTCATTGCATTTGCTAAATTGCTGTCACCTGCATATAAACGATGACGACTACAAAAGGTAGTGTTTAACAATCTAGGAGAATGCACTGCATGATCATGCATATATTGATGATGATGTTTCTGTTGATGTAACTGTAAGGAATGAGGTAGTGTGTAAGCCCGATATACTGTCATTGCATCCTGGAATGTTGAATTATGCAAGTAACAGTCACATTCATTTCCATCACAAGTTACTCTAGATTCTAGTGATTTTTGATGCTTTAACTTTTGATGTGATATCTGATGAATGCTATCAGGGCATGGTCTAGACCTGAGTTCATATTGTGATTTAATAATTTTATCATTATAATGCATATTTCTTGACTGTGGTGATATAATATTTGAATCTAACATCGACTGATGCTTCTCACAAGGTATTGGTATATTATCAATTAGTCGTTCAGTCATTTTAGAGTGATGTTGAGGGTAATCCTTTTGCTTAGAAAGTTCATTGGTGTCATTATAATATGGCACATGAGTATAACTTTCTGCATTATTCTTACTGTCACTTAGCTTATTTACACCTGTCATACTCATAGATCTACTGTTATTAGTTACAGAGATTCTATCTTTCTTATCATTACAACTATGATCGTATAACTTTAAGTCATTATCAAACTGATAATCTTTTGTTAATGGTGCACTTTTTACTGTGAGACTGGTATCACTCACTGTATTCATCATTAACTGATCTTTTCTTACTTCAGATATTACTGAAGATTTGTCTATCTCATTAAATTTATATCTTGATGTTTGTGTTATCTTCTGATGTTGGTGATTCTGTGGAAATTGCCCATGAAGTAAACTGAAGTGTTCATTTGAATTAGGGATTTTTGTTGCTACTGTTTCTTTACACTCTGTTTGTTTTAAATGTTGTATAAATGCACAAAACATTTTCCAATCAACAGGTAACATATTAATTTTTGCTTCTAAATCTTTCAATGAACATAAATCTAAAACACTTCCAGTAATATTTAACTTTCGAATTGAGTCTGTATAACGTTTAATGTTTGAATGTATAAGTACATGATCAACTGTTGTATTCACAGCTGCCGGCGGTATTGGATCATTGATTAATGTTTCAGATTCTTCAGAACTTAATGGTTTATTCAGTGTTGAATCAGTTTCATTACTCGTCGATTGAAATTGTGATTTGATATTTTGACAAGACTTTACTACGTTAATAACTTGATATTTTGAAGTAAAAATGACAATTTTTTCTACCAGTTGACAAACTTCATCTACTGTGAACTGATTCAAAGGTTTCTTTGGAACAGATTCCTATGAGGAATGAACAGAAAAGATACAATGATTCACCAAAGTTGGATTTTGTGAATAAAATGACACTGACATTTATTTCTTACTGTGAAGAAAGTATAAATGAATGTAACTGCAAATGTTAAATTTCTTGATGATAATTATGCATAAAGCAGTGATATTAAAAACCTCATCAAGTGATTTCGCTTAACCAGTATCATATTTCATAAACAAGTTATTTCCAATACTACTACTACTACTACTCACACTACTACTACTAACAAAGGGCATTTTATGACCATGATATTTTCCACAGCGATTGAGTCCTAGTATACATTGTTGTAAACGTTAGTGCGTTATCCATTCAATTACTGAAACATAATCTTCATCCGTTGTGAAATAAGTATTAGTTATTGTTTATTTTTATAGTAGCAATTTTTCTCATTTGACCTAGTCGAATTAATCAGTTCTAGTTCAAGAAACATTTCCTGTACACCAATACTCAGATTAGATTTTTCGGTGTTTTTTGAGTTTTAAATGACTGAACTTCAGAAATGTTGTTGGTGAAGCACTATACATATATGAGTGATCTGCTTTTACTGAATAATCGAATAACTCTAGAACTTGCTTCTATGTAACGTAGTTTCATGTTAGCAGAGATAAAACTACTTATAATTTTCAGCAGTTTAAAATCTCAAGTTTACTTTCGGTTGAAGTATTACCGAAATAAGATGTTTCATTCTTAATCAGACCTCTACTAACCATAAAGAACTGCAGTGAGCTATCTGTGTTAATATGCGTAATATGGTTGTGTGCATGAAACGCAAGTTAGCAAAAGCGTACAAACTAAACTACCATATAAAATCAGAGTCAAGGGAGTTCAAGAAAGACCTACAAATAATATGAGATTTAGAAGACAGATACTTCAAGACCCAAGTTCACTGAAAGTGACTTGTCAGTCAACAGTAAATCCACCTACTCTCCAAAATGTTTATTCCGTAGCTGATCAGAGTGCTTAGTTACATACATGTAGGCGATTGTTACTATATCAGATACTCGCTGCTTCCACATTTAAGGCTAATGAACTTTAAGATTGCCGTTGGAATGATTTATCGTTTCCAATGTTGATGAACACGAAAAAATAGCTTAATCTCTGTTGTATAAGAGTTTCTGAGTGAATATGTAGGATCACTCCTACAGTAGATGCCGAGTTCTTCTTAAAATCGAAATGGTAACCACATTTGTACTTTACGCGTGAACATTTATATAAAACGAATTGGATAGTTTTACCAAGAAAAAAAGGTGAATAAATTACAGGAAATTACATGAAATATGGTTTCACATAAAAAAGTTTTTCTATGTAAAGACAACAATGCATTTACCTTCATTTTTAATATCCATGATCTAAGGGATTCTTTTCTGGTATCTACTGGGTGAGTTGGGTCAATATCTTGATCTACTTTAACATTAAACGTTTGTGAACGTTGGCTACTCCGTGAACTCGTTGTTTTTCTTCCTGTTAGTAACAAAAGTGAGAAATAAACCTAGGTTATGCATGTATACGATTATAAAGAGTAGAATTCGGTTAGTGACTAACTGAAATGATAGGGTAAGTATTTAAAGACTACAGAATCTTAATATTATAGTAACACATTCATCCCTCTTCAAGATACTTATGGTTTCAGTGAAATGTGAGAATTAAATATAAACTGAAAGTGTGTTTGAATTTTATTATGAGATAGTTAAAGTTTAAAAAAAACCATAAAACCATGGACAGTATTGAACAGTCATTTTGTTTTGGTTTATTACTGAGCATTTTATATTTTTTTAACACTGACAGTTATTTCTAGGGCGTCCAAAACTCACGGTGTAAAGTTAGAGTTTATTCATATCTGTCTTCATCTTTTTCTGTATACACAGAATACTTTTTACCATCTCAGTTAGTTCATAGATCAGTGTTTTCTCGAAGTTTCCACGTTTTTTGTTTTAATGGGGTTAAAATGTAAGTGAGACAGCTCAAAAGTTCAGTGAATTCTCAATTCTTGGTCGCTTTTTTTCATTTTTCCTATTTAGGCACACTCATATGTGTTGGGTGGAAAAGGTTTACTTTACGGTTAGTTATGTCTACAAGAAATAATGATTCATTCAACAAAACTGTAAGTATTACTAACATGTTATATCTTATTCACTGACGGCTAAACTCATCTTATCCATAATATATGATCTTTACCACAATCTTAAGATTGTTATCAAGTTAGTGATGGATAGTGGCTAGCGGTGTAATCCAGGATGCATGTTTCATCCTATTTGGGAATCGTCAGTTAGCTGTACCTGCCTCTCAGTGAACGATGTTAATACATTACAAGCAACAACCATTATCAAGTTGTTTCTTACTTGTTACTATATTGAAAAAAATATTGTAAACATTGAACATTTCCAATTATTTACAATTTGTTAATAATGGAATGAACTAATTTATCATAAGTTAATTTGGAATGAATGTCTTCTTCTGCTTGTAGCTTGCCACATTGAAACTGATTATCTCCTATCGTCTGAGAATGCATACAGTAAATATTCCTTTTCATTGATGTACGCTTAAGGTCATTCAGTGAAGCATTTACTACGGTCTTCTTCGATTCCAGTTACCAGTATTCAATGAATGTTAATCAAATTCAAAAGATAAATAAGTAGTAAAGTTTTTTTTACTGAATTTCAGTGATCATTCTCTAAAAGTCAGTGGAACTTGTTATCAGTCGATATTTTACTTTTCTTAATGTAAAGTGTGTAGTTTAATAAATTTATTATTTTATGAAGTGATTTATAACCATTGAATTACTAGATTTTTAATTTATGTCTTGAAATCATAAAGAACACATAACTATTCAATAATGTGTCAAAGTTAGTTAGAACAAAGCTGTAACAGCTCTTAACGAAGTACGCTGGAGAAAAATATGAGCAAACGGAGACTAACCCTATTGATCTGTAAATTTTGCTAGCCAGATCGGAGTGATTTAGATATCCGATGACTGCTCCACTTATTCAAGGAGTTTATCAAAGTTTATTTTTTCAGATCAACTGAATCAAGCCAGTTAACTTCGACGAACGAGTATAAGTTAAATATTCAATTTGTACATTTTTACGAAGTGCATAGTCAAAGTTGACATATTTTAACTGCTGAACGAAAGGATGAATAGGGTTTACGTTGGAAACCGTCCATTTCGACAGGAACATCTACAAGGGTGTTTAAATTACTGGGATGTGGCTAGAAAAATCTACAGATTATTTTGAGGGCCTTCCAACCCATTTTCTTTAGTACTACATCCTGCTGGTTTATGACATTTTTACGTTAGAAATCACATTTTTCGACCTCGTTTGAGTGTTTTGCAACGGAAATCTTGAGCATATAACAGTTAGGCAGTTGCTGAAAAACATTTGTGAGACATGTCGACATGAACAATGCAACTTGTAAATACTTTGTAAATTGATCGTCTTATGTATGATTTACTCATGTATTGCTTAGTTAGAAATAGTATGTGCTAGGTACAAATCAATCATCAAGGCGTTGATGTAATAATAGGCTAGTAAATAGATATATTATAAAGTTGCCGGTGTAAATGTGTTTGTAACCTCTACGTAAAGCTCAGTGAAGAATATCACATTTTTGCCCAGGACAGATATTTATCTGGTAAAAGAATAAAATCAGATTGGGAGTGATACACCAATTTTAGACTTAAGCTCCAAAGAAACTAGTAATACTTCAAGCATGGAACTACCTCAAACTGAAAATTCCAGTTCTTAAACCTTCTGGTTACATATTTATATCTTTTAAGTAACAGGATTTTAAAGTAGATGACGTATTCCAGCGGTGGTTTAAGTAACATTTGAACAACTGTTCGCTACGATAGTTCAACTGGACCGACACTTTTATACATCTTGGAAGTACTTACTAACCACCAATTGTGTTGATTAGCATTTCACAAACATCTTTATTTGACACAGTTACGCAAGACTGGATCATTCACCTTCTTATGTGAATGATTTGAATGGATTACTGAATGACTTACCTTTTTATGTTACAGTATTTCTAGTGTATCATGTCATTCTGACAGTGAAACATGCTGTTCACATTCATTTCATTAGAAAAGTATGACTTATTCCCACTATCAGGTAATTTAAACAGTTTATTGCTTATACTACTTAATGCAAAAGAAATAGTTTCCGAAAACAAATTCTCAATGAAACTATTTAGAATAATAAGTTCTAAAGTTCAATACATTTTCTTATATATTCATAATTTAGAAAGGTACTTGTAACCAACTAACGTCTGAGTAAACAAGCATTATATCTCAAAAGATGAAAAATAATCAGTCATTGAGAGAAAATAGGCTTTGATTAGTCTAGTAGAGCATATAAATGGATTTAAGATCCAAGATGTTATTCAAGCTCAATAATGTCGAAGATTTAAAGACAATAGTGATTTCTGTGAAATAACTCTCAGGTTCCATAGTTGAAAATAAATGATTTTGCCCCAATGTTTTCAAACAATTATGATCGATTGAAAAATAACCTCTCGACTGAATGAACAAAAATGAGGCAGTTGAAGAATAATACGGTCATCAACGATAAAACAGGTTGAAATTGAAACAATCTCCGAGAGTGAGATAAACTAAAGACAAAAATATCCATAGGGCTCATCAAAAACTTAAAATTAGAAAGATTTTGATATACAGGTTTCTATACTGTGTGACGATTTAAGGTGAGATGGAAATTTGGACTGTGACTGGATTCGAACCAGCGACCACCGGCCGGGTACTTTACCAACTGAGCTACGAGATCCGACTGCTGACTAGATTTTTGATTTCACTTCAATCACCAAAGGTTTTGTCTGACTACAATGTGAATTTTTGGTGCATTACTACCGATTGATCTTATTCATATTAGTTGCCTAGTCAGGACTTCACATCCTAATCCCACTCTAACTGAATTAAAAGTGAAATAAAAATCCGGTCATTAGTCAGACCTCGTGGCTTACTTGGTAGAGCAATGGACCGGTAACTCGGTGGTCGCTTGCTCGAGTCCGGCTGCGGTCCAAATTTCCATCTTGCATTCAATCATCACTCAGTATAAAATACTAGTCCGCTAAACTACTGCTATTTTAGATAGCCAAATAGTAATAATTGTTCCTATTGGTAGTATTATTTTAGCTGGGAATTGTAAAACTATTTTACCCTTTTATACCACGTTTTTATCGACTGTTGGACAAATGTTTTCAGACTTATGTTGTGTCAAAGTCTATAATTATATGCAAAGCTTTGAGTTTATCACGTAAAAAAGTTTTGAGTAAGTAACCTAAGCAAAATGCGGATAAAACAGTGAAAATTGAAGTCTATACTTAAATAGGAGGCTTGTTTGAAAGATATACCATGAATTTCGACAATCACTGAGATAAATAATGAAGCAACTTTAATACACTAACATGTGTGTATGATTTTATTTGAAGAATTCAGTGGCTACAAATTCCAGCTTAATAAAAAAGTCGATTGCATAGTATCTTTCTCTCTCTCTAGAGTAAAACTAAAAGTTAGATGAGTTCCGATGTAAAAATGGAGTCAAAAAATAATACAGTTCAACAAAATGAGAGCAGCAAAGAAGATCATTGGCCTACTGGATAACGCTGTTGTGTTAGAAGTGATGGTTAGTTTTGTTCGAATCTCAGTGCGAATACATCACACACTAAGGTAGGTAGTTACATTTGTATGGCGAGTTCCAAATGAGAGGAAACACGCATCCTAGATTTCACTATGAGTCATCACCAAGCAAATAACATCAAAATGATCAATATATGCTTAGAAGAGCGTAAATAAATGCTTACCTTTTTCCTCGACATTGTTCTCAACAATATTAAATTTTGGCAACAATACTTCTAAACAAAATGAAAAACAATAAAAGATGTGTGTATGTTCTCTTTACAGAATTTAGTTATGAAAATAGTTGGGTAATGTTATGAGCATTTTATCTGCTTGAATGCGTAATCAAGTTGATATATCCACTAATGAGTTTGTAAGTTGGCGACTTTTGCCATCAAACAGCATTATCTGAAACTCTGGATTAAAATCTTTCAAACAATGTGTCTTATACTTCTTATGAGCATTACATACGTGTTTAGTGTACCGCATTGTGTATCTTTTTCGATAGGCTGTATCTTAAAAATTAGCAATAATTTGTACGGTTGTCAGTGATCTGAATTCAAAAATTCTTGTTCTCTCTAAATGTAATTTCTAAGAAACCATTTAATTATAACAGAACTATCCACTTGTAACTGACTTTATAGCGATTTCTGCATACAATGAGCGTTTTATTGTGCAACTGTTTATGTAAAACGTTTTATAGAAATTAAGCATACATTAATTTCGTTCAACTCTTCATTAGATTACATCCTAACCAATATTTGAACTACTGAATACAAACTTCACCTGAATCACATTATAGCTTGTTAGTCAAGCTAAACACAGTAAATAAGTATTATTTACTGGACAATGCCATGGAGAAAATTTAATTTCCGAAGTCACATCAAGATTACCTCACAACTTTAACAGCTAGTCTCTCTATTTCTCATTCTCACTATTTTTTCTACTAGAGGCAAGAAAACATCAGATATCCAAAACAATTGCTGAATCATTTTAGTTACATTTGCTTTCTGAAGACTTAATGGATTAAAGTTCAGTTGGCAAACTCTCCCTCCACTTGAAAAAAAAGAGTTCTTATTACCATCACTCTGTCGTATTGCATTGTTTGACCGTGTGCGATAGCTTGCCGAGATATCATACAGTATTTCTCGGGTCTTCAAATCTTTATTTTGCTAGGATAACCTCTTTGACCCAGGTCGACTATGTTAGTCTGTGTATTTGATCACATAAAATTTATAAGGGATTTAATGAACCAAATAATTTTGCTCAGTGAGCTGAATGTGACCTTTCAGCCGGCAAAGTTTGCTTGGAAGTTACTTTATTGGTTCAGACAAGACTGTAATCCTAGCCATACTAAGAATTTATGTAGTGTTTTTAAAATACCTCTGCTGTATGATAGTATCGTAAAACGTTCTCCCTGCTACTTAGAAATCTCTGACCACCTACCATAACTAATGTGGTACTAGATAATTTTTTCTCACAGTAACAATACATTTGTCAAGGTTTAGATTCAAGTGTCATTAAACTCGTAAGAAACAGTTAAACATGAATAGCATTAATTACATATTATACTAATCATGATGGGGACCACTAGAGAATTTTCAGACGTCTGCAGTGGTGCTATCTATATAAGGAAGACACTTAAGAAACGAACTGTGGTTACAAATCGATATCCATGTACTCCGCTTCTTGTAAAATGATATCACTGACTTTTATTTCGAATGAAGTTATAATCCATTTTACTTAAACTCTTTTAACCACAGTGAACGTTTGTTCACTATTTGCTCGGTTATTTTACTGTGAAATAGCTATTTTCTTTCCATTTTTATCCCCTCTGCCGTCACTTAGAATTGTGTTGTGCCTTAGTCTATCCATGGTGAACCACATTTGGTGGCAGTCAGCTGTCACATTTCAGAATAACAATATTTATCAACTGATAAACTAACTTCAAGGTGAAATTTATGGCATAATCTCTCACTTGTTCTGCTCAACTGTATGTTATGTGGTATTACCAGTTGGTTGATGATGATGCAATTAGTTAAGCTTACTAAGAGATTTTATTTACTAGGCAATTTCAGTCATTGTAATTGTAATATTCATAACCTTTTATTCACCTTACTCAATACTACTGATGAATGTTGATTGTTTTAAAAATACTGACGAATGGCAAGACTAACCATAATGTTTGAACAAGAATATACTTATTGGTCAGCTTTTAGTTATCTCCGTTACTGATAATTCTCAAAGTTGCATTAGCGGTTTCATTTGAAGTGATTTACGATAAATGGATGTTAGTGCACCTAATAAAGCGCAGATAATTAGCTTCCAATCACTATGGCCTACGCAAGCTTCGCAGACGATATAAAGCTGGTGGCTACTATGAATGAGAGCTATTTTACAAGATATCAAATCAACGCAGACGAAACCAATGAAAGATAGTGAAGGAAAGCTAGTTAACAAAGAGGAGAAACAAAGGAAACAATGAACTGACCACTTCAAAAAACTCCTGAATCGACCACTACCACCACCGTCACCTGCGACTCGTCCAGAAATACAACCAGTAACGTCAGAACTACCAGTGAATACAGGCCCTCCGAAAAAAGCAGGAGTCCTGGATGCCATAAAGTTACTGAAATTCGGAAAAGCAGGAGACCTGGATGAATTTCCACCAGAAGCACTGAGAACAGACGCAGAGACAACAGGAGATATGCTCAAAACACTAATGCAGAAGGCTTAGAAGGAAGGAAAGGTACCTGCCCATTGATTTGAAGAAGGGCTACCTTGTCAAACTCTCAAAGAAGGGAGACCTAAGCCTTTGTAATAACTGGCAAGGAATCAAGCTGTTGCTCACCTCAAGCAAAATATTATGCCGCATCATCCTCGAGAGAATAAAAGATGCTCTGGATTGAAAATTATGACCAGAACAGGCTGGCTGACTGGCTGGATTCGAGAAGTGTAAATCATGTGAGGATCAAATTGCAACATCACGCTACACATCATCATAGAACAGAGTAAAGAATGGCAGTCAACTCAACTCTACCTCAACTTCATCAACTTTGAAAAGGCCTTCAACAGCGTCAACCAACAAGTAGTTTGACAGGCAGCTGCTTCACCATTACGCATTGCCACAAATCCTTATCAACCTCATTTCACAGTTATATGAAGACGCATGCCACATGCCAAGTGATCCACAATGGAAAGCTGACTGACGCCTTTGAAGTGAAGACAGTGGATAGGAGTAAGACAAGGCTGTCTACTATCACTCATGATCTTCCTGATTGTGGTGGACTGGATAATGTAGCAAAAGAGGTTAGCAGCGAGATGGACATAAGCTGGCTGGACTGACGAGAAGAGCCTAGAAGATTTGGATTTCGCCGATGACGATTTATGTCTGATATCGTGTGGCACAAACTCGAAGGTTTACAGGCAAAAGCTAACAAGTTGACAGAAGAGGCGAGGCAGCGGGGGAGGACTGGACTTTAAGTGAACGTAGAGAAGACAGAATTAACAACAAGCTCCAGTCACCATGAACGGGAGAAACCTAAAGGAAGTAGTCTCTTTCACCTACCTACCTACCTTGACAGCATCGTTTCAACTACAGGCGGCGGTGGCGGCACAGACGAGGATGTCAAAATCAGAATCGGAAAGACAGCAAGACAGTCTTTCATTAACCTGAAGTCAGTGTGGAGATCCACTGCACTGCACTCTAAGCATACAGCGTGAACAGGATCTGGATTTTCAACACCAATATCAAATCAGTGCTTTTGTGTGATGGTTGAGAGACTTGGCTCATCATGAAAAGCATTTGCAACAAACTGAAGACATTCATTAACAGCTGCCCACGCTGACTTGATACTGAAGATTAGGTGGCCAGAATAATGAGAATAAACAACAAGGAACTGTGGCTGGCAACGAACCAGCCAACAATGCACTGCACAACAAATATGCAGGAGGAAGTGGAGATGTATTGGGCATACACTGAGAAGACCATTTGGGGGCATCACGCTCCAGGCCAGACTCTCGAGTGGAAGTTGGATGGGAAACTGTGAGTTGGGCATCCGATGTGAGAGTGACATGGGGGAGATCATGTGAGGAAGGAATGAGAGCTTGCGGGCAGTTGTGGAGCGAGGTTGAGAAGACTGGAGAGAAGAGAGTGGAATGGAGGCGTGCTACTGAAGCGGTATGTTCCACTAGGAACCCAAGGGAAAAAATAACAAATCTTATAAGATTTGCAACTAAAACAAATGAGAAGTGGATAGAATTCATGTCTATCAATAAAAAGGTCATATGGGTAAATGGTGGATAAATTCAACGATAGGATTCAAAGTACATTACTGTATAAATTTATAGCCATAGTTTGCTAGACGTATCTACACAGAAATCACAAAAGAACCTTCCAAGCCTTTTCGAACTCAATTGGCTATCAGAGAAAGAGAACAAAAACACTTTAAAAACGGTTCATATGAGAAGTTAAACATTACAAAAACCCCAGTTAAGTGGAACAAACTGAAAGCACTAACTAGCAAAGTGATACCATTTATAAAAGAGAAACAAAGCACTTTGCTCTGATTTCATTACCACAAAACAATTATCACCTATGTAGATTCTATTGATCACTGAAAATCTATAAGGTAGGTATCCTTCTCACAGTAGTTGTAGTCTTTACGAACTCATCAACACATAATTTAACAATACAGAATTCAAGTACTTCAAAACTGTTCGAGAACAAATAAAATAAAATGAGAGGAGAATCTGTTTTAATCGTAGAATACAATCGTTTCATCACACATTGAAGAAGATAAAATAAGAATAAATTTTGATGTTTTTCCTTTATTTATCAGTCTGGATATTAAAGATACGATAAATATTATTTATAACCTCATATAGTTGACCTTAGACCATGTTTCCTACTTGATCAAAGTGAAACTAAAATCTGTGAGACTGTCTGTCACCAAAGGTATTTACACTCAGGAGAGATATATAGAGACAGACTGATGGTAAAGTAGTGAGCCCTCTTGTATCCTCAATAGTAGGTAACTTGATAATCCGTTCGTCAGAGACCAATACAATGACAAAATGTACCACTACGGCAAGAACCTGGTTAAGTTACGCAGACGATACGTTTATCTTCATTACAAGTTACAACTGGGAAGAAAAATCTCCACAAAAACTTACTACTTTCACCAAGGAAGTCAAATCCGTCTTACCAAAATGGGCTTCGACGGGGTAAATAAATATTTTTAGGAAATCAACACATTTTGACAGATACCTAGATTATAAATCTGCACATCCTTTGACTATAAAGGTAACAGTTACTAGAAATCTGATCAATGGAGGTATTCATCTTCTTACAATGGAAGAAGCCAAAATTTAAAAGTCGGGATTTATTTGTTTTACCATGAAAGTAAATGTCTTTCTCAAGAGTTTTATTTCAATAATTTTGAAAACCTAAGGCTAGAAAAGTAGCAAGACATATGGTGATTCCATATCATACAGAGATCCTTCAAGAAATAAGAAATATTTTCAATAATCATAAAATAACTGTTTATTTTCATTCGACGAATACCCATGAATGAGAGTTGCAGGCATCACCGAATGATGATCAACAGAAATGTTCCTGTGAGATAAATATGCTGAAAGCATTTTAATATGTATCATAGGGACATACAGGTTGGTAAATGTAAAGGTGAGGGAGAATATACTGACTAAAACATGTCCCAAATACTTCAACGTATATTAGGAAGCTAGAGGAAAAATCATGAACAGTACTAAAAGTCTTTTCAAATGGTTCCATAATTTAATTTTGATGGGACTAATGTTCTGTAGATAGGTTTTGGGTCATACCAAGAAATCCTGACAACTAACGCCCTACGTAGTTGTGCAAACCAAATTGTTTCGACAGACAAAATGCAGTACGTTTAGCTGTTACTTGGCAGATACTAATTAGCAAGTAAAAAGGTTATCTGTTGCATCATCGGACTCTTATTTATCCTTAAATCAACAACAGAATAACCTAAATTCTGAAAATATAATTAGAAGACGTGATATATTTGAGAAATTTGATGCATTTGTGCTGTGCAGTTCCAACAGTCTTACAATGTATTCACTTGTGAAGCCACTTTACTTGAAAATAGAAATAGAACGAAGTCAAATGTGAGAAAAAGGAATGTGATAATAAGAAAGCAAATAAACAAGAGTAGAAACTAACCTTATCAATAGGATTAGATAGTTATTAGCAGGGTGGGTTCAACGTAAGGAAAAATTATGTATGAACTACTGAGGAATGAGGCTTAGATTTGCGCATGGCTATCACTTCATCAAATTTAATTAAGTTCCTCCGACAAGCTGGATTGACTACATGTACTTTTTTCATCATTATTACTACTGATCATTCCTACTTTGATATGACATGCCAATAAGAATTCATTAATCTCAGTTCATCCCTAAATATCAATAGAAGTGAACGGTAGGACCAACCAAGTCGAACATGAGGAGAGTTAGCCAACGAGGGCATCGAATGGAGGTTGCACTGTATTGATAACTGAGAGAAGTAGGAAATATGGACCACTGGATTCCAACCCAGTGGTTCAATGGCAACTTGCTGGCCACGGAACCTGAAGGTCATGGATGAACACTGGTAAGAAGTCGTGCACTAGGATGAAACAGCTGTCTGGTGCCTCCAGGTTTCCAATGTTTCTGCAAATGATGTCATTCCACGATGAATACCAACCTAGAATCAATAAATAAATCCCTCAAAACCTCAAATTTAAATTACGTTAATGCTCGTTAATGACTAGCTTTGAGACGTAGCTTTTGGAGTTTCAATGAGAAGCGAACCAAGTCGAACATGACGACACCTACTCAGTGACGACATCGCATGAAGATCAGGCTATATCGTAAACTGTTAGAAGCAGAAAATCAATAAATAAATCCTCACAAAACTCCAAGTTGAAGAAATGGAATACATATGTTTGTCGCTTGTCGTATTGTAATGCACAAACAATTACCAAATACCTATGGTTCTACCGGTGACATTTTTATTCCCTTACTTGGAATGAAGGAGAATGTGAATAAAAAAAACATACAAGTCCTATAGAAAGTTATGTATGATTTCAGACTGAATGATTAGGAATTATATTTTAGTGAAACAGTGATTATACAATCATGATTGAACAAGAAGATAAAGTATGCCTTTTTGAACTCATTTTTTAGATATCTTTTATGAAGTTTAGTCAAGACCTGACAGGATGGTTTCATAAATATTCGGTGAAAAATGCGAAGTGGAAGGTTTTATTACGCTGAAGAAGCTAAGATCAATCTTCCAAGCCAAGCATAGTAGTAAGTTTAGTTTATAAACCTTTAGATACTTTATTATTTAAAAAATTGTCAATCTTTGTGACTAAGCAGATAAATATGCATATTATAGGAAAGAGTTTAAATTTTCGCTTCAGTAACCTTGTTTTCCATCAAATCATTCTCAAGCTGAAGTGTATATATATGTTTTAGGAAAAGGGTGACTACAATAGACAATATTCAAGAATTTAATGATTACCTTTAATCCATTTACTGATTTGTGGATTTATGAATGGTGTTAATTTCATCAATCTTAAAAGTTGATTGATTGATACCGACCCAGATTGAGTGGAATCACACAACTTTAAAAACTCTCCAAGTTTTGCTGGATCTTTATCATAAAAGGCTAGTTCGCATACTTTTAAGGTTTTGTTAGTACTTGTCAATAATTCATTGGTAAGAAAAGGCTCATTAATTGAATGAATCGTTGCTGATGTTGGGCATGTCGCACTTCCAACTGAAAATGATGATAGAGCTTTAAGACGTACTGTTTGAAGAAGAGGACCAAGCCTGTGAAAAAGTTGAAAAAAGAGACAATAATGAATATACAATTAAATATGGATAATAATTAACTTACTGGTGATTCTGGACACTAAGAAGGATCTCATTATCAAGAAAGATATGACGGTTCGTTTCTTAGTCTTAAACTTTCATGTCGTTTAGTACACCTGATCAGAAAATTTCAATGAATCTACCTAAAGCCTGGTAGACTAATGTGCTGATTTAAATTTAAGCATAGTCTACCGGTGAGTAAAACTGTTGTATAACTTAATCTGACTTCTATTTAAACTAATCATGTACTGTAGAAATATCTACTGGGAAGAAATCCAGCAAGTTTTAGCTATTGCTTTTAAAAACTGTAAGTCTTCATAGTTTGTACTGAAGTCTTCTGAAGCAGGATGAGTGCAACCAATCCTTCCGGGAAGATTGAACAAAATGTATTCATGGGTTATGTGCAGTGAACGGCTTAAGTTGGGCAAACTACCAACCTAGTTACATCCATTATATATATAATTTGTATCAGATAAGAAAGAATTTGGGTAATCCCAAAGGGATTTGATTATCATCATTGAAGAAAGCTTCAGCTTCTATAAACATTCATATACATAATGTAATTTAGTTCATTTATTCATAGCTTCATCGTAAGTATTCACAGATCACAAGTTATGAACACATTTATATAAATGATAGAATTTTTATCAAATGAAAGTCAGATGTATTAGAGTCACTGATTAATATATTTACATTGATTTAAACAACTTCAACCAACTTTATATTTTAAAGGAGAATGAGATTAGTTTTTAGTAGAGGGAGCAGTATGAATGTCAAAACTGTTCAACTAAGAAATATAAACCATCACTAGGTGACTAGATTTTTTCTATTCATCACAAATAGGAAATAGTGATATATTTCTTTAAAACTTAATATTCCAAGAAATACACTTGTTGTTTACCTAATGAGTAAAGCAATACCTGCCCGACTGAAATTTTACTTAAGCCTTACATAATGTATCGGATATACTCTGAAGCAGTATGAGATTTGGACACTATTTTCCAGTATATTTTTAAATACTAAAATACATTAGTTTTCATTACCGAAGTGTATATTTTAAAATGGAATTCAAGCCTTCTGAAGAAATAAATAGATAAGTCGACCAACAGAGAACGCCTTGTTCATCATAATAAAAAGTACAAATATTTTTTTAAAAAATGAGGTAGATCGAAGTTTGTAGAAGTATTAGCCAAATAGAAAGCTATCGGTGATAGACATACTGACCAATTCAGATGTTCAAAGTTCCGACCAGATGCAGGATTGTCAAATGACAGGAAAATATTTGGTTGCTGTATAACCGAAAATTAACAATAAGTTCAAAAATTTGGCATCAGATACCTCAAACTTTGTACTTTACTGGGTAAGAAATGTTAACAATTTCTCAATTATTTTCCTAGTGCACGTTCAAATTCTTTAGTAAGCTTATTTTTTGGGCTATTATATTACTGATAATCTTAATTTCATTAGAAATAAACGACACCTTCTTTTGGTAAAAAATTGACATATATTTCTCAGTTTCATATTTGAAACGATTTGCGTCAGTCGAAGGCTTTTGATGTTTTAACAAACTCGAAATTATTTCAAGTTGTTATTCATCGTGGACCGACATCAGTTGGAGGAACAAAGGAAACCTGGGAGCACTGGACAGCTATTTCATCCCAGTATGGGACTTTTCAGCAGTGCACACCCACAACACCACCAGGGATCGAACCCACGACCTTCAGGTTCCACAGCCAGCACATTACCATTTGGCCACTGGGTTAGGATTCAATAATCCGTATTTCCAGCTTATGTTAGCTCACGATGTAGTGCAACCGCCACCCAATGTTATCGTTGAGTAACTGTTCTCACGACCATCAGGCTATGCCCCCACCGGTCACGACTTCTCATTGGAACTTCGGGAATACCTCTTGAAGTTAGTCACCAATGAGCACCAGTTCAATTGAATTTTGAGAGGGTTGTAGGGATTTGAAAATGTCTGAAGTTGCTATTCCAAATCCCCGCAACTCCCTCAAAATTCAAAATTATTTGGTTGTTTACTGGAAGGGTAATATTATCAATCTTGTAGGTATTAGACATGATTGAGTTGTCTACAATGAAATCTTGGGATAATGACCCTTCATGTAAGGAATGAGAACTGGAAGCCAGTAATTTAACTATAAGTTTTTACTGTCATATCACAGTAAAGTATATCAAAGAAGCATGTCGGACAGGCTTGGTAACTAAAACGAAGCGTAAATCCAGCTGGTAATATTTATTTAGTAGAATAGTGAAATAATGAACCGATGGCCGTGAATCTGTTCGCTCTAGTGAAGTTATTACCATGCGTTTCTGCATATAATTTTTTCCGTTCATAAGCTTATAATAAAAGGTTCTACCGTGTTTTCGGATATGCAGCAGTTTTACTTGGAAATGGTGAAAAAAGTAATACCATTCTTCAAGGTAATTGTTTTTAAAAACGAAGTAGTTGTTTGAATCTTAGTCTATGTGAGGTTACATTTATGTCTTCGTGAAGTGCTCTATCAAATCGAAAAAATCGAAATCTTCTTAGCAGCCTTGTGAACATCCTTACATCAGACAACAAGCCAGACCTGGCTGTTCAAACCCCCAGCTACCACCCATCGGTTGGAAACCAAGCGTTTAGACTAATAAGCCAAGTGTATAAACTTGGTTTTTTATCAGGTCAAGAGTAGGTCAGTTGTTTTTTCAACCTCATAAAAGCCACAAGAAGATAAGCATAATTCTACCGTGTAGGATAAATTTCTTGGCTAAATATGAGAAAGTAAAATTTTCAGTGCTTGTACTTGTGGTGATCTAGTTATGAGAACTTACTGCGTGTGACTTCAATACAGAAATTAAGAAACAAAATCTAGAAACACAGAACTGAAATACACAAATGCTGTGACTTGATTGTAAGAATGGAGAATGCGTAGGAATATGAACATCATTCCTTAACTTATTTCTTCTTAAGCCTACTTAATAGTTTTCATATAACCAAATATTCTTAGAAATTGTTCTTTTTTCTCTGACTCCATTTAATTCTTAGTGAAAGAAGCCGTATATACATCTGTTTAGAAGAGCTTCAGGCTCAAAAAGTGTATGAAAGCTTAAATGGGAATGAGAATGTACTTTCATTTGAGACAATCAAAAATCATTTTATGCGAACATCTTTAAAACTAATATGTTATCGTACGTATTTATGTAAGATAACCATAACTACATTCTTTGTTAATTTAAGTAAATGTTGAGTGAAGTCACAGTACTCAGAAGAACTTGCAAATTTGATGAATATAGTGAAATAATCATGAGGTTAGTTATTGGTTACAAAAAATTAAGCGATAGAAATTCATCTTCCTGAGTCTTGGAATTAAACTATGGAAACGGTCAACATACTACGTTGTCACCAATCACTCCAGTCCAGGTAAATTCAGTTGATATTAACAAAAGTAGCATTATTCTAACATTCTTCTTTTTTCTAATTTCCTCATCTTACTTTCTAATGGCTTTTTTGCTGTAATATTTTATTGCCGTTATGATTGATCACTTCACATTGTTTTCTAAGAATTATGAAAAAGAAACTAGATCTAAATGTTCATTGCATGACTATATCTCATTACAATAAGATTTGTATAGCAAAACAAATCTAACGATCTTATGAAACTTTTCAACACTTCATGAAGAGAAATCATGGGGTAAAGCAGAGTAGAATACGATAGAAAATGTAAGTCTCTGAGAATAAATAAAGTAATGGAAGCATTTCATTTTGAAAAATATTCAATAACCTTTTCTTCCCTACCTTTTCAGCACACGTGTATATAGAACAGTTAAACTTGGACCTAGTTGTTCTATTCCAAATTGTTTGACCTTCACACCATTCAATGTTTGATTCAGACCTTCGGGCTGTGAACGTGATGTATTATCGTTCAGTAAATAATTGACGCGTACATTCATTTCACACTTTTGATAATTATCTATAAATACACCCAACCAAGCAGCATGAAATGGCCAATGAATTAAAAAGCATAACCATGTTACAAGAGTGTTTAACGATGGTTCATTGGCGAAATATTGTAGGGCATTAAGATAATAGGGATTTTTCTGACTACTCATATAAATTGTACGCTGGGTAAACAATCGATCAAGTTTTAACATTCGACCTATAATCGTAGAAAGAATGAAAGGAAGATATCATTAAATACGGTAATTAAAGAAATTAGTTTTATATTTTTACTAACAATATGTCATTGAAATATCACAGGTCCGCTTGCCAAACGTTATCCAGAGTGATAACAGAAGAAAATCGAGAAAAATAAACGATAGAGAAGTCATCTCTAAAAGTAAACATCCTACTCTTTATCGACAATATAGACTAATTTCCTGACAGTTTGGACATATTTTCATTAAAAAATGTTACACAAACAGAACCATCATCGTAGATTCATCCCAACTGATGAAAGTGAATCAAATGCGAAAGGGAAAATTAGTATAGACTGTTTTACTTGTCAGATATCAGATGTATCCCACCTGGATAAATAAGTATTCGTCAAAAGGAAAGCTAAATTTTCTACATGCAGAAGTTTAGAAAGTTATTTCGAGTTTTAGTGAAAAAAAAAACACTAGTTATATTGTAAAATACAAACAGAAAATAAGATATTTGAAACCAGTCAAGCTAGAAATATTCTTATTAATAAGGTGAGATGATTACGTGAGTTAGGAAAAATTAGATATAGGCGAAAGCAGTTACGTGATCATGTCAAGACAAGTGATATTGACTGAGTTACATAAATTGGGTTAGCCAAGGTTTGGTAACAATACACAGTGCAGTAAAGATAGAAAACAATAGTTGAAAATGAAGGTCAATAAAGATAAGCACAAAATCAGTGTACAAAATTTTGGAAATTTAATCTAATATTTCCGTTATTACCAAGATAACGGATACTTCTAACTTCTTGCTCACAAACATTTAAATGGGTATTTAGATCTTGTCAGATAGCGAAAGCATCAGTTTATAAAAGTAAGAAAGATGTATTCAAATCTATTCGTTGGTACCATTAGGATTTGAGGTTCACTTTTGAAAGATATCAAAGCATCATAAAGAAGAAAAAAGTAGCCCATCGTCGTTTCGAAGGGATTAAATCTTATATTTCTTGACGGTCAGTCATCACTCCTTATATTTGTACCGTATTTTCATTTTTAGGGATTAAAACTGAAAAAGATGAATAAATTTAAATGTAAACTGTATATTTATTGATACTTGTAGTTTTCCGTTGCTTTACTAGGTGGAATTGTTCGACCTCCGTTAGTAGATGAACTTATATGCAGATGGATGAATACCATCGGGGTGTTAATAGTGTTGAAGTCTGTTTGATGGCTGGCAGTGGAATCCAGAACACGCATTTCACCTTGTTTGGTGTTTGTCAGCTATATATGCCTGCCGCTGATGGTGTTCCCATCGGGAATCGCACGCAATACCCATTGCCTCAAACGTCAAAGCGTTATCCACTGGGCTGACGAAGATCAAACAATTTAATCCGGCGTAGCAACAGAAAATTGCAGTTACCAATAAACAACAATTGATACTTGTTACACAAGTGGTGATAGATGTACCCCAGCGACATAATGGATAACACCTTAGAGTTTGAAGCAATAGGCAATGGGTTTACGTCCCAGTGGGAACAGTATCACTCACTGGGGTACAGGTACACCCAGATTATGAGTCCAAAAACAGAAAGAAATGGGCGTCCTTGATCCTCCTGCTAGCCACAAGTAGACTACGATGTAGACTATATTCTGTGGTAGGTGTACAGATGGTGTTTTATTGCGCTTCTTTAACGTTCTGTCGTATACATTTCAAACTGGTTTACGGATCAAAATTAAACATTATGATGAAAAGTTGTTTATGTCTCTCTAAGATGGAATTCCAAATTACATCACATGACATCACACTGAATATTTACAAAGATTAGTTGTTTGTTTGAGAAGTGAAAGTTTCATTTACAAACAATATACTTACCCATGAAAGCTGTCAGTGTTAGAAGATGGCGAAACTTCTTTTTATTGAAGTGCGATAACTCATGATTCCCTGTGTATAGATCTATCAAAGATTTAGGTTGAGGAATTTCATTCTTCGTCTCCTGGAATTAATAAATGACACTTTAGTTAAGTTATATACACTTTTATTATTTAACGTTTAATAATATGTAAATTTCCTGATTTAACTTACAGTGAACTGTTGATATATAAATCGTTATTAGATTGATAATGATGTTTGCTAAAAGTGGTCTGGTAATCAGATAACGGCTTAACTCTAGACGACGGAAGAATTCCATTAAATCATAAAGAAAACAACAGCTTGTTCAACGAAAAGCTTCCTTTCCAACGATGTCATATTTTTAAGTCGCTCAGTCATATTTTTATTGATTATAAACATATAGCAGTTTATTACTGAATAATCGAGTATTTATATATTAGCATATTAGTGTTTAAACTTAAATAAATATTGGAAAAAATTTGTGTAATAATCTCTCAGACGGTAGGAAAAGTCAGAAAGTCGAGAAGTTGGACAGGGTAAAAATTCAAAAGAATAATTTTCACTAATAACCGTTTTCAATAACTTCCTCTTTAGGCTGTACAGTTATACATACAAAGCGAACAGGCAAAATATAATAGCCAATCTAAGGCTTATTATGAAGTTATTTCATCTTTTTTCGCCTAAATTATTCCTGTTCTGGCAGTGGAAAATTAACGCTCGATGTGAAATGCAATAATTGAATGTCCACTTGACTAATAGACAGAAGGTGAAGAGAGAAACGGAGATTATAATGAAGGTGGTGATAATAAACCAATAATTACTAATTACAGTCAAATCGAAGAATGGTAAGTAAGAAAATGTGGAAGCGGTAAGGTTGTAGCAGGATAAGAGATTGAACATACTTCTGCTGCACGGAAAGATGATGCTTGAATAGGTGAACTCCCATTGCTTCTGTAGTGAAGAATTTTCGGAAGTGAAATACTTTCAAACTGTTCGCTTTGATTCTATAGATAGCACTGAAGAACTCAGAAGACAAAATTTTCGGGAATTCACCTCATAATTGATTTGCTTTCTGTAAAATTCTGTGAGACAGTACTCGGAAATATGTTCGGAAGCTGTGTGCTTTGTGCGGCCTTCATAACTTGCTCCATCTAAGCAAGCAAGTTTATAGATACATACTGATAATTATTTTTTACTGATTACGGAAGGTTTATTGTGATTTGTACATAATTTTAGATGAATAACAGGCATGCTTCACAAGACCTTTTGTCCAACAAATATGCTGAAGAAAGTGTAGATGGATTGGATTGGACATACACTGAGAAGATCGTTTAGAGACATCATGCTCTGGGTCGTCGAGTGGAATCCAAGTGGGAAACGACTAGTTGTGCGTCCGAGGATGACATGGAGGAGATGGTTTGAGGAAGAGATGAAAGCTGCTGCGCAGTGGTGCAGCCAGGTTAGACTGCAGAAAAGAGAGTGAGATGATGACTAGCTACTGTAGCAATATGTTCCACTAGGAACCCAAACAGACAAATAAGAGAACAGTCTGGACTGCTGTCCAGATTTTTATCTCACCTTCAAACATCACCCAGTATAAATACCAGCTGCCGAACTGAGGTTATGTCAGATAGTCAAATGATGAATAATAATGATAATTCATGGGATAATGGAGACAGTTAATGCTCGTAACAATATTGTTCTTTTTTAAGAATTTAAAGCGTAAATCGCTAATTTCAAGTTGGTATTTATCAAGAAGTGACATCAGTTGCAAAACCCCTGAAAACTTGAAAGGATTGAACACGTGCTTCGTCCTAGTTTGGGACTTCTCGGCAACGCATACCCATGACCTTACCAAGGATCATACCCAAAAATTTCAGGTTTCTCGGCAAGCATAATATCATTGAGCCACTGGATTCTATATCAGACGGGATCAAATTTGCGCTACCAGTGCTGTCAGGTTTTCATTGGTTCCCTAACTGATATCAGTTCGTGATGAATACCAACAACTTTGAAAATCTATTCGGAAATATCTTTAGAAAAGGGTTTGTCATTGGGTAAATAGTGAACACATTTATTTTACAGACTTCAATGATTTGATGTAGCCTGCTAGTCCGAATTTACTTTTATCAGAGGAAAAAGATAATGTCGGGATTTATTGGGTTAATCCTGAATACTAAGTTGTGAATCGGACAGTACATAGGGGATAGTATTCTCTCCGTACTTAACTGATATGTGAAAATGGTTTTACATATTCAGATTTGGTGATACTTGTGCCTATCTAGGGGAATATTGCATTAAAGTTAGCATTTGGGTAATGAATCCATTACTCTCTTAAGAAAAGTTTCTGTAAATCGCCCTTTGCTTTGAATGGTATGTTATACCGCATTCATATATGTGAAGTTCTTGAGTGAGTAGAAGCCACAGTCGTGTGGTATCGTTTTGAAAATGGTAGATAATCATTTAGTCCGACACCGACAGAATAGTCTATATGAAATGCTTTAAGCTGAAACCTGTAAATATGATTGAGGTGCAAAGTACTTGTTATTTCGTATTTACATATGTTCTCTTTCAGAACGTGATGTGTATACAGTAAGCAGTCCTACGTTGAAAGTCATAAATGTTATGCTAATAAACTGCTATCATACATCAAATTTCATCAACAATAAACATATCATAATACTCGAAATTAATGCACAAAAGTTCATAAAGATATTTAATAAATAATTTATGAAGAATTTCAGTTTAAATAGTAGACTTATATTTACGGTTTAGTTAAGGTATTTGTGTATCTACTGTTGAGCTTCCTAAGTTTTAAAGTAACAAAAAAATCAACTGACTAGCAGATTATTATCTGAAAGTACCATAAACAACAGCAGATTCAGTGAAGCTTATAGAATTTTATATCCTCAGAAATGACGATTGAAGTAAATACAATTGTCTTCTGTCATGAAATACGGAAAAACAATTCTGACATTCTTATTTTTCCGGTATCAAATCTTTTATAAAACTACATAATATGAAAACAGTCACTGTCAGAGAATTATAAAAGATGATTAGCAGTTTGTGGTATATATGATATTTGTACGATTTTATTCTTCCAGATGAACTTTTATGCATAACTTTTTCTAGTTCTCAGTAAAATTTATTTAGTAGTATGGATGTTTAACTAGTGATATAATAATAAGATAGACAGAGTGGTTCTGACGAGACAATCACTGGTACTCATGAATGCGTAAAGTAGAATTATGACAGTCCAATACAGAGTATATTTCAAGAAATTACTTATAAAAGCGATATTTGAAAGAATTTCATATATTTGTCTCTTATCTAACCTAACTAACTAACATTCATACTGGATGATGATTGTAGGTGAAGTGAAAATTTGGACCACGGCCAGATTCTAACTAGTGACTACTGGGTTTCTGAACCGAGCTACAACCCAGTAGCTGGTCGATGGTTTCGAATCCGGTTTCAGTTCAAAATTTCATTCCACTTTCAATCATCATCCAGTATTAAATACAAGTCTGCCAAACTACATCTATCTGAGATAGTCAAATGATAAATGATATTCGGTTGTTGTAGACTCAGTCGCGTGATGATGATTCGTACACAGAACTTTATCCCTAGATGCTTCTCTAGTTAACATTGGTTTGTTGTATAATCTATCTCCAAACGCCTGAAAGAATATTTCATGAACTCATTTGACAGTTTTACATAAATCGATTAATTTTAAAGGATACTTTATTCCTTGATTGACATTACATTGAGAATCATTGAATATTTGGGAGTGCTGGACAGTCGAAATAAAGTAAAAATATCCAATTGTAAACTGGAAACAGTGGATTCATTATATTTCATAGTCATGTTTTCTGTTGTTTCCAAGTTATTAAACAGTGATTATCAAGACTGAATCAATGTTAATATACTTTTGAATCAGTAAGTTCATACCAAAATAAAAAAAATTAGTCTAAAATAATGGGTCATACACAAAACTAAGTAGTTGTATTAGAATTACCAGGACAGTATTCACTGATTACATTAAACACTAGTATAATGGTTATGAACATAAGACTTAAATGGAAATGAATGTTAGTCAAAGACATCAGGCCGTGTTCACAATTATGACATAATAAAGTGAGGGGCAATACTGTTCGTTACCAAGGTGTATGAAGGCTAACTAATTTGTCTTTCTGTATATATGGGTCAGATGTTAAAGTAAATCACCAATGAGCACTGAATAGTAATTCAGTTGGTGGATTATAAGGATTAATTAGTCTTCGAGTAATTTTGATGACAAATTAACATCGATTAGAAAATGTGAACCAATGAACTTTATCCGGTCGACTTTATTATAACACGCTTACTGCTCCACCTCAAGGTCATAGGCTTGATCCCACACGAAGTGTTGAGTGCGCAATATATCAAAGTTTTCAGTAGTTTTCAAGGTGATATCAGTGCGTGGTGATTTCAATTTAGTAACTGTAACTTACTTGTAAATTTTGTATATTTGATGCTGATCGTGCAGGGCTTATAAATGATTGTTCATTTATCTGATCGCATACTCTGAAGGCAGTTGGTTCGTCTTCAATGTAGATAGGTAAATGACACAGTTGATGAATATAGTGCCATATTTTGATATTATTTCCGAACGTGGGGTTGGATGATATCAATCTTTGTGAGGAAGACATTGAGTTCAATAAGTTAGGATCACCAGCATTAGGTGAATTCAATGAAGGCATTCTTGAATATTCACTGCATATACCTGAGACGTTGGCGGTAACAATCACAACAACATTAGGCACCCAAACAGTAGGTGGGATGTCATTCATCACTTTTTCTGGAGCACCGATGGGGGCAAGTATTAAAGGGACATCATAGCTCTTTCCACCAGTTGGAGGCTTCATTAAAATGTTGTCTAACAAATGCATAAAATCTAATAATTTCTTGTTTGTTATTGAATTCTCTACCACTCCGGTGATTCCACTAATGCAGATTATTAAACGGGTTTGTCGACCACCTATTCTACGGTCCAACATAGATAACACAGAACACGCATCCAACATGTACTGTCTTAGAAGCTGCTCATTTTTCTGACGTTCAACAGATATAGTTTTTCGTCGTCTATTATTCCGCAATGTTTTCGAATTGGATTTGCCTCGACTAGGACTAAAAAAATGTTTTTTGCTAACCCTTCTGTGATGTGAAGCTGGAATGTTTTGACCATTGATTAAGAACTCTCCAGAATTGAATAATAGTTCATCATTTCGAGAAACATGTTCTTCTTCTTCTTCTTCTTCTTCAGCAGTGCTATGCTCACTTGAATCAGACTGTTTTGAGTCGTCTTCAGTTGATTCTTCATTCTCATCGTCATCATCACGACAACTGGAATTGCTATCTATTTTCGGATTTATTCCATTTAGATTACCCTCGATGTCAAATTCACTGTTAGGCTTGTACTGACCTCGTTCATAAATTTGCTGATGACAATGATGATGGTTAGTCATTTTGGCATTTTCTATTTGTCTCCAGTGTCGATCTGCTGCAGTAACAGCTGCAGCTGCAGCTGCGGCAGCCATAGATGCAGCTGAAGCTAACCGATTTGGGCTGCATAACATTTGACGCGCACTATGGTTATTATTACTATTGTAATTTCCTAAATAAAATTCAATGAAAAAAACTTTAATGGAGAGTAAAATAGTGAATGAAGTCATAAGATGCTATTCGTGAAATTAAACATGGACTTCATTTTATATGTTTGTACTAAAAACGTTGGTACGTAAATCGATACAGTAAATTGGATTTACTTCGGTTGTGTGAGCTGAATTTTTCATAGTACACCAGCAATAAGTTCGGCCCCTGAGGAGTAAAACGGCCATCCGGTATTTAGATAACTCTAATCTGGTTGGCAAAATACTATAGATCAACCTGAGTGGTTTCTAACTACTGAAATCCCTTAGAAGTAGTATCTACAGGCAGTTCATGATCTTTCATGTCAGAGATCACACGTTGTGATCTCGACTGAGTGGTCTACATTGAAAACTTTTTTGACACTACAGTTAGGCAGCTGAAGAGATATTCAACTGTGAGAAATGTCAGGATGGATCTTGAAATTTGTAACTCATTTGCAAATTGATTATTTTACACGTCTGATGAGTCTTAATTATTAGTATCTATCAGTGACAACTAGCTCCTTTATTCTGAGATAAATGTATTAATTTTCTAGATAACTGTCATTACGGTGGTTATTATTTTGTCTTTAAATGGTTAGAAAATTCAAGTTTAGTTAGTGTTTGAAAGTTACTCTTCGTATTAAAAGCCCAAACAAACTTTCTTTCATTTTCGCTTATCAGAAAAATGAATGTACAGAACTCAAATAGTAAAATACTGACGTATTTTAAGCATCTTCGTGAAGGTTATTTAGGAAAAACTGACTGCTTTTGTTACAAGACAACAGATAGAAGAAATGAAAGTATGATCTCGTCTAAAGCTATTAAGGAATCATTGAATGAGCACTTTTACAATTGAAGGGTGTAATTAAAAGCTATCTGGGTAATGTAATTAGAATACTTGGATTATCTGAAAGTGTGACGTAATAGCTCTATACATTTCGAACAATCTGATCACACATTTACTTGTTAAGGCATTATATATGAAAACTAGAAGTGGGGGACATTAGTGGAAAACGGATATCCATTGAAGTTCATTAAACCGCTGCAAAAATCAGCAAGAATTCAAACCTAATCTGTACTCTGTTTCGAAGAAGTGCGTTTACATAGCGTTACCATACAGAGGAGAACCTAACAGCACAATAGTAAAACGAAGGTTAAGGTCTGCTGTTAGCAAAATGTACTATGCAGCTAAGCTTATCTTAGTTGCGAAGACAAAAAACACCTGCTGCTAACCTGGACCTCAACGCTGTATAAACGATTGTGTCACATCCCACTGCGTTTATAAATTTACATGTACGTGTAGACAAACATGCATAGGGAGGACTAATCATGATTTGCACTTGAGGGTAGGGGAACATGTTCCAAAGTGGCTACGAAAGCAGCTGGATTCACAAACATTAATAAGCGCAGATGGCAGACAACCATCATCATCCATTGCGAAACATATCATTGATAAGAGTCACAGAATTGACATTAAAACAGCCTTTACAATTTTGTATAGAAACTGTCAGGGGCGTATACTTAAGTTTGTTGAGGTGCTAGCCATAAATAAATTTAACCCCCCATTGTGTGTGCAAAAACAGTTTGTCCTTACACACAAGCCTACCTTGATAATGCTTATTTTATCGTATTACCAAGACTGTCTTCAAATCTTATCTTTTTTCCCCTCTCATTATCTTTCTTATTATTGAATTCCTTTATGTCAAATTTGTCCTTCCTCCACTTCCAGTTTTCATATATAATGCCTTAACAAGTAAATGTGTGGTCAGATTGTTCGAAATGTATAGCGTTGATACATCACATTTTCCAGATAATCTACGTCTTCTGATGACATTATCCAAACTCATAAAAGGGACTAATTGTTTTAAAAGCTATCCGTCAACTTCGTGCAGAACACTGACGTGAAACTGAACGTTACAGTTATGTTCCGTTCCTAAGCTTAATTGATATAATGTGAGGTCAAACGCATAGGTCGAACTAGACGGTTGGGGTCAGTCAGAACAGCGGAACATAGGAATCTAGCTAAATATAAAATGAAAGACCCCAGTAAGATCAATAATCTAGAAAAACACTCGGCTATTGGAATGCACGCATTAATAGACAACCACACAATAGAACGGGTGGGAATAAAACTATTGTACTCAAGTCCAATATAACTAGGTGAAGTTAAAGAGATTGATTGTTGAATGTTTGTTCATCGAATGTACACCCAACACATGTAATAGGAATGATGCAACATCTATACCACAGATATGAAAAATTTTACAACCAATAGAAGCAGATAATATGAGGTGGTTGTACTATAAAAATCAGATGTAGAAGGTAGTGTGATTATATGGATATGATTATTAGCTGTAATAATCTATGCTTGAAACGTTATGAAGTAAATAATATTGTATCAGATAAACAAATCTAATATGGAATTAAATTCTACTACAATGCCCAAGTTTTACACTTATATTAGTCAATTTTTGCATTTATCTTAGAAGTTAAGTGTATGTGGAGAGTTGCTATGCATCAAAGTTGTGCAATTAGTCTTTTGAAATACTTTTGTTTCACTTTTAATCATGTTTTTATTGTAATACACTTTATCTTAAATGAAAAATACCATCACAGTATTTTAAATTTGATTATTAACTGAATAAATATCCATATGAAAAGTCTAGTTTTACTCTTGTTTATCTTCTTAGCCTCTTAAGCAATAAAATTCCCTAATTATTGACCTTTATTCTACCAAAAAAAAAATTATAATGTAAACTTTGAAGTGTAAATCAGACAAAAGTAGATGAATGACTATTAACTTCATTCATATTGGGCCCTATGTTGAAAAACTGAATATTTAAATGTTTAATGTTAATGCTTACAAATTTTATTTGCTTGATTATACTACTTATTGAATTTGAATCGCTAAATGGATGAGACTCGTGAAGAAAGGAAGTTATCCATTAGATTTTAGAAGTACAGTTCGTTTATATTTCTTACTATGGTATAATAATCCAGTGAATGTATTCAAGATGTTGAAATGTGAAATATTTGGTGCCTTCATTTACACTTCATATGAACATTCATGCACATAATTAAAAAATGAGTTAGAATGAAGAACCACCTACTTGAAAGGTTTTAAAATGATACTGATGAGTTGTGACTCATAAATTTAATTTGGTGCACATTAGAAAACCTGTAACCTATCCTAGTTAACTAGTTCACTAGTTACTAGCCAGTCCTAAGCTCGCCTAAAGAGGGAAGGTTGGACATACGGCTAGCAACCCTACCTCACAAAACCAGTGTAATGGCTAAAGGAACCTCAAAGCGCAGACAAAATATAAAACATAAAAATAAACTTATTCCTCACTGGAATCGGACAGATGAAATGACGCCGGTTGGTGAGAGACTTCAGGAAGCCAGTTGGCTGATGTGTCTTGGCTTCTTCCAATGAAAGCGAAAGTAAACGTGGGAACATGGAATGTCCGCATAATGTATGAAACTAGCAAGATTTATCTGATTGCAAAAGAGATAAGAAGATATAGCAGAGACGTGATTGGAATCTGTGAGGAATCTGCAGATGGAATGGAAGTGGACTCTCCAAACTGTCAACCACAGAGTCAATAATCTACTCCAATATTATCACCCAGAGGACAACCATGAGCACACTGAGTTATGGAGTGGCTATCATTATTTCCTCAAGAACATCGAAGGATTTCACGCAGTGGGAATAAATCTCCTCATGCAGGATCATGGCAGCAAGATCAAACTCAAAGGGAGGGGAAGTCGCAATCCTACAATGCTACTCACCTACAAATAATGCAGATGAAGATAAGAAGGAGGAATTCTACAGACAACTGCAATCAACACTGGACAAGACCTCAGTTGGTGACATCAAAATTCTAATGGGCGACATGAATGACAAACTCGGAGTGGACCACATAGGAAGAGAACTAACCATGTGTCAAGAAGTGCTCGGTGAGGTGATGAATGAGAATGGAGAATTGTTTGCAGAATTGTGTGCATTCAACCATTTGGTGATTGGGGGCAGTGTTTAAAAACAAGGATAATCACAAGACAGCGGCATGGACTTCACCAGATGGACACACTAAAATCAAATCGACATCATTTCAGTGTGAAGAAAGTGGAGATTGAGGTGCAGCCCACTGGACACAAGATCAGATAAAGAAGAGGAGTAGATGTAGGTCCACACCACTCACTATCTAGTGCAAGTAACACACCTTCAAATCAAGCTGATGGCCTTCAACTAAGTTGCTGATAGAGCACAGTTCAACACCCAGCAACTGAAGGATGAAACTACAAGGGACATCACGTCAGCCATCAAGGCGAAATGAGAGATATCGAGCAACATTCATGAAGGAACCTATGTGGATGAACACTGGAACTCTTTGAAAGCTATGTGGAAAGAAACCTGCATAACCGTATTAGGAAGGAAGAAGAGTAGGCAAGACAAGGAATGGATGTTGACGGACATATGGAAGCTGGGAGAGGAGGGAGAGGTGATAGTGAAGCAGAAGACAAACCAGTGCAGTTCAAGGATGAACAACGAAAAGAAGAACTGAGTACAACGTACAAAACACTGGACAAAGAAGTGAAAACGAGTGCTCGCAAAGACAAAAGACACTTCTACGACACATTGGCAAGTGAAGCAGAACAGGCTGCTGGTAGGGAAGATCGGACAATATTATATCAGATAACGAGGTTACTATCCGGGAAGAGACTAACGCAGACGAAACCAATGAAAGATAGTGAAGGAAAGCTAGTTATCAAAGAGGAGAAACGAAGGAAACGATGGACTGACCACTTCGAAAAGCTCTTGAAGCGACCACCACCACCTGCAAATCGTCCAGAAATACGACCAGTAACGGCAGAACTATCAGTGAGCATCGGCCTTCTGAAAAAAGTAGAAGTTCAGGATGCCATAAAAATGTTGAAATATGGGAAATCAGCGGGATCAAATGAAATTCCACCAGAAGCACTG